AAATTCATTCTGATTTCTTTACTTACAAATCCACCATTGCCTGATGTAAAAAAAATGCTCAGCTGTTATAGTCAAAGCCAAGTTTGTTCTCAGTACAATGTAAAATCCAACACTCATTCCTTCTCTAGGGAGATTTTGCAATGTCAACAATGCAATGAAATGTATGCTATTTTGTAAGGAATTTTACTGGAGACTGCTGTGTTTTAACGACTACTATATTTATACCAGCTTCTGAATGCATTCATCGATTCATTATGGTTGAGCCAAAGCATTTCAGGTATTTGCCTACAGGTACAAGCTAAATGGAAGCACAATTCGCATTTGTACGCGAAAGGGTTAATATCGCTTTCTTCTTGCATTTACAAATATAACATTCTGAGACTGGATTCTTAAGGACTACTTGCTCTGGGGCATTAAAAAAGTTAATTATAAATGAAAGCAGCGGTTTATTCCTCTGTAATAAGCACTTTTAATATTTAAAAACTACACTTCTATAAATCTCTGCAGAGGCTTTGGCCTGTAAGTGCCAAGGTGGTTTTATCATAAATTTTGCAAAGTAACATTACAAGAAGGGAGAGGGGGGGGAAAGTCCAATATATAATAAATAACAACATATTAATAACTATTGTATTGTAAATGCACTCCTTCAGAAGATTTTCATTGTATGCCGGCTGACATATTTGGAGCAAACGGAAGCCCGCCGAGAGCCACGTAAGGCGGCCTTTAAGCCAAGGGAGACTTGGCAAGGCCTCAAGGGTGAGGGTCCCCTCGGGGGTAACACCGAGTCATTGGTGTCACTTTGGCATACCCCCCTGTCGCCGGCTGATACTGAGGCACACTCAAGACCGAATTGTGTTGCGCGCTTCCGTATGCGAGCATGGCAACGCGAGTGCCCGGTGTGCGGCAATCGTGCCCTGCCATGCCTTGGAAGAGCGCGCTCGGAGCGGCGCAGCGTGCCTTCTGTGCACGCCGCCTTCAGGCGGGATTTCTTTTGAACTTGCGTGGCAAAAAAAAGGTCACCCAAGGTAGTAGGTTCAGGTTGAGGACAGTGGACATTGATTTTATAGCACAAGCCAACCCTCAAGGCAAGATCCCTGTACCCACGGGACCCAGCCATACCTATAGGGCCTTCTATCAATACAGGGCCTCATGCGTCTATCATCCCCAACTGTAAGAGCCACTGTGTACGGCTGAAAGCCACCTCATGTATTATTGCCCTTTTGATGTTGGTTTCATTTTACTTCCTTGAAGCTTCAACCCTTAATCTCCCCATTGAACAGACGATACGCTAACTCAGGACAAAAAAATATTTTTTCTGGGTTGTGGTTTTAACTGGTGAATTGATAATATTTTCACATTCGGTCAGATACCGGAATACAGTGTTGTTACGTATCCCCCTCAGCAATCGTGTTTGTGTGACGAAGTCTTTGTGTGGATGCATTCGTCGTCACAATTCGTCCCCCCAAAGAAATTAGTAATTTCACTTTAACACCATGCGTCGGTGTCTTTCAATGTGAACAAGGCTATCTGTGAACAACAACAAAAAAACTTCCAATTTATGCCCCTGCATCCACAGGGTCACGTGTCAGCATGCGTGTTGTTGTTATTGTCGCTCCGTGTGCCTGCGTAAGTGTGTGTTCCATTTTGTGAAAGGCATCGTATTAAGAGAAACAAAAACAAAAAAACCTGCCCTCCTGGGGATTTTCTGCATGAGGAGTTTGTGTGTGTGTTGCATTTTAATTATTGATAACTCTTGAGTTGCCAATGTTTTGCTGATGCAAGATTAAAATTACCTCCATCTTTAATACTTATTTCCTGCCAACCTTGTGTGACCTCATAATGCTTTCTATATAGCGTGCTGTATAAAATCACATTCCATTTGTTATATTTAATTAGGCCTTTATTATTATTTAGGAAATTATCATAATTTCCAACAGCTTCATTACATCGCCATATTTTTTTCTTCCCATATTAATGTTGATTATGTGTTCCTGTAGAGGAATGGCACAGTGGTTAGCACACTGGCCTGAATTTGAATTCTAACCATGGCTAACATCAGTGGTGAGTGACATGTTAACCTTCTGTCTGGGGTCCTTTCTTCGCCAACATTCACGAATCGGTGTGGTGAAGTATGGTCACAAAAACCCTCGTGACTTACACAGCTTGAGAAAGGCTTTTTTTAGCAGTGGATTGACATAGGACTTTTTTTTTGTTATTTATCGTTTGCTTTGTGGCGTTCTGACCCCTTCATATGTACTTGGCGTTGGACTGTTCTTTATGTTAGCATGACCTCTGTTCTCAATGGCAATGTGAACTTGAAACAAATCTCAGTCTATAAAAAAAATGTCATTAAAAACTGACATGAAATGGACTACAATAAATATTTCATAAATGTGGCATTTTTCTGACAATCCATAGAAATTTAACCATCTCTCTAGGCTGTAAATATTTTATGAAAAAGCCAATACAAACAACAATGTTATGATTTAGAAGGTCCCCCTTAAGTGTTGTGGGTGGATTGCTGAAAGTATATATATTGATCAACAAATGTTTTGTGTTCTGCAACACCTGCATGATATCAAGCGTCGTTGCAGTGGAAAGAGAGATACCAGATGACCAATTGAGATCTATATTCGCTTGAGAGTTCATTGACTGGCTGTATTTACAATTTCATTTTCTACAATTATTTTCTTCTCAAAGCTGTGTGCGAGGGCTTGACTGAATGATTCACCAGTAATGCTGGGAATTTCGAAACTCTAGATGGTGCCACGTATATTTTGGTTGTTTATTATCCTTCACAGCATAACACATTTATTCCCGTCTGTTGTTGTGTTGGGAGACCACGCATAGCCAGGTGGTTATGTGTATTTTCTTAAGTGTGATCTTGGTGGTGTTATTTATTTGTTCTTGTTGCAACAATTGAAATCCCTCATATTCAATACATGTTCATATAAACCCTACAGTTCCCTGTAACTAACCTATGCCAAACTAAATAGACCATTACCCTTCTGAATAAGCTATCCCATACATGCACTGTTCTTTTGTCGTGACACTGCTGGATGAGGGCCTCTCCATGCGTCGCATCTCAAGGGTGTTATTTGACCATATTTCGCCACACTGGTCATGACGGGTTGTTTAAGACAGAAAGCGTTGACGTGGTAGCAGTACAACAATAGATTTTTGTTCCACTTCTATTTGCTGCCCACAAAATAGGCCCACAGTGGCCCAAAACATACAACTATTTGACATAATATAGGTTGTTTTTTTGGGGGGGGGGGTTAGATCTCGTAAATATATAAATGTTGTGTCGTTAAACCCGCCACCACCCGACACAGCCAAGTAGTAAGGTTTGTCACGTAAACAGAACATGTCAGTTCATTACTAGTACAGCAGCACACCGGTGTGTTGGAGAGCAAATCCACAACATTTACAGTCTGAGTACGACGTTTCGCCAGTAACTATAACTAGCTTCATCAGGCGGCGGGTTTAACAACACAAATAAATAACACACATTAAACTAATTTTCAATGGTACAGTATATTTTTTCAAGTAGTGGTATCCCAAACTTTCGCAGCTGCTTAAATTCCCTTTTCACACCATCAATGTGTAAACTCCCCCCCCTCCCCCCCTCGCTGGTCTGCACATGCTCCCCCCCTGTACACCGTTCATCATGCTAAGTCCGCCAATTAAATGCTAATTGTTACGCTAATTCCTTTGTCAAGGCGCTCTGCTTCCTCTCACACAGCTTAAAGGTCGCAGTCTGAGCTTGGCTGTGTTCACTCCAGCGCTGTCCTCTAGACAGTCTGGTTCCTTCACCTGATGAAGGCCACTTGTGTTGTGGCCGAAACGTCGTGAATTTTTTATTTTTTGTTGTTTTTTACGTGACTTTACCGAATAGAACCAAAGAGTACGTTTATATTTACGCGATCTAACTCCCCCCTAAAAAAACCTACATGGATGATATTGGTCGCAAAAGCCCTACGTGTTAAATACTTTAACAACTATAATACTGTGGACATTATCTGGATGTTGTCAAAAGATAGCACAGTGTAAATTATAATTTTTAATTGTGCATTGCTTCAAAATATTTTATGCACAGGAAGGAGTTGAGAAAGTTTTGTTTATTCTCTTGGAGAATCTGCTGGAGTTGTGCACTAGAGTGTTGTGTTAATGGTAGAAATAGCATCCCAAGAGGCAGTCTTCTTTATGACCTAGGGTAGGGCACCTGTACCAAATCTCGCTTATCTTCGTGAGGTAGATTGAGGTGGGTGTGGGAGTGTTTGAAGCGTTGGGAGCTTGATGGAATCTGGGTGCCGATGGACCAAGCAGCAAAGATGTGGACATGCATCTGCAATATTCCATAAACCTCAGGTGAAATGGGGTCACGAGGTCAAAGGGATTCCTGGTAAATCATGTGTCCCTGTATTCTGGATGAAGTCCCAGAAATAAGATGAATTAATTGTGTTTTTATTTTTTGCACTGGATATTGAGTGCTGGCAAAGTATCTTATAAAACTGCAAATTGAAATGAAATCCATTAACCTCCGTTGCTAAATCATAAGGTACCTGATTATAGTGACTTCAAACATGGTGCTACAATTGACTAATGTTAATGACATGTAGAACGTTTAATAATTGCATATTTTCATGTAATTGTTAACGTTTTAAATTCCTGTTTACAATTGTTATTTTTAAACTCAAGACAAAAACTCATTCTTTTTTATTCAAATTATGATTATTTAAATTAGTTATTCGAGTAATTTCGTCATGAGGCTAGTTTTGTGATAATTCCAATAAAAATCATTGACGGGAGTATTTGAAATGTATTTTCTCTGAGGGCATAATTAGATGAAAACAAGTAATAGTGTGCATTCACTTTGAAAAAAATACGCTTTATTTCATAACGTATTTGATTTATAATGAGGATGGAGTTTTTATGTAAAAAAAGGCAAAATAGTTACGAGCATTTAACCCTGAAACTCTGTGTTTGTCTCTTCACAGCCAAGCAAGCAGAAGTGCTGGACTTACCAGACAAGCCCCCTTCCAAGAAAAAAATAAAGGAGCTCAAAGTCTTGGACCAAAAATCGGGGCAAAACCTTTGTGAGAATACCACTCTTCAATGTAGAATAATTTCTCATGAGAGTAATAAAACATGTTTCTTATGTCTTCGGTCTGTTGAACATGTGGTTAACACTTCTTTTGCACCGTACGTAGCCAACCGTGCTAATTGGAGGTGCGGGGTGGGGGAGAAGAACAAACTATACACAATTTAATGATGTCTGCAACATTTTTGTCTGTGTCTTCCTACAGTTTCTATCTACTGATTATTTAAGGTGCTGAAAAAGTGGTGTAATTGTCTGTGGTCTGAAGGACGTTGTCATGATCCCCCCCCCCCACCATCTTTCCCCCCACCATCTCCCCCCTTCCACCATCTTCCCCCCCCCTCCACCTTTTCCTCTAAATGAATGTACATTAAAAACGTATATTTTGTAGTAGACAGTTTAGAAGAGGGAGGACAAATAGAGTACCACTCTACGTGCTGTTTTTTTAAGGGTTAATCTGTGTTGTGTGAGGCTGACGAGAGAATGGCCTGGGGCCTGTGGGCAGCAGCAGCAGCAGGTGATCACGGCCTCATTAGATCTGCGTTGCCTACATAAAAATGATGGTGATGAAGGCGATTGCTTGAGTTTGGACTTAAATGATGGTAAAACCTCAAAAGGTCCACAAATCACGGTACATTTTCAAGTGTTACAGCCACAAAACGCCAAGTCGTGGAACGTAATGAGATATGACATTGGAGGCATTTGTTTAGTTAAATGTTTTTCGTAAAATACATTTAATTGTTGACAAATTAAATGTATTTTGCATAGGCAAATTGAAAAAAATACGATTTTCAAATGCTGTACTGTCGTTGCACATTATACCATCATATAAAATGCACAAGTATAGCTGAGTATAACGAACTTTAATGAACTTGTCAGTTTTATTATGCTCCGTCCTAACAGAATGTTTCCATCCACTCTGCCGCTGCTGCAGCTATCTTTTTAGGAACACTGAAGATGCCCTACACAGAAATTAAGAAAATAATTCTGGAGGTGAATGAAGAAAAAATCACAGAGTCAATGATACAGGTGAGGTGACGAAGCTTGAATAATTTGACCTTTCCAAGGTCACATTCCTTGCAGTGACCTTTAGTTCTCCGATTCAATTGTCACGTAATATATATTTTACATCTTACGTGTAGGTAATTTGTAACGTAAAAATAACTTGCTGGTCCTTCAATAAAGCCTCCAGAGCAGATGTTGCACTTCTAGCAACCTCATGACCAAATTAGTCTGATTTCCCTCGAGGCGCAAGTTAAAAAAGGTAAAAGATGGTAATGGGGGAATTTTACCACAAGTCCTGACAGAAATGTACAAAATCAAACGTCTTTGCAGTCATTTCAAGGAAACACGCGTACACAGAAACCAATCACGGGGTGAACAGTGTGCTGCACTGCAGTATGGGTGAAAGGGTGAGAGAAGGTGGCCGCTACAAGACCAGTCAAATATAAATCTACTCGTGTGGATGGCACAAATGCATTAACTGCATAACAAGTATTTTATATGGCAGGGAAAATAACTAGTTTGAAACACGAGGAGATATTTCTCGGTGTCCTTTTAAAATTGCGTTAAACTGTTTTGAATCCTCAAGCCAATCTAGATTTTTTTGTTTTAATATGCATTTGGTTACTGAGTTGTTAAATCTAAGCGTGTGTTGATGTCTGCTTGTCAGCATGGTACGCTGCCCCCGCAGGAAGTGTCAAGTCATTGGACAAAGAGGCATATTCCATATAAATCATGTGGATTTTTTTTTAATAACCATGCATCTTCATATCTAACATCCATCACATGTGGAAGATGGCTCGAGCGGTAGTAACCATGGAAGCAAAAGGGATACTATTTAATTGGCTACAGTTTGAATGATTCCCTTAGCCAAGTTTCGTCTCATCAGGATGGTGCAAATTAAGATTGATTTAATTAGTTGCTGCACCACTTGTGAAGACAAACAGCCTACATTTCTTCTCCTGGTTGGTCATCTTTCTCCCATCTGGTGGGAATGTTTCTGTGCACCATGGGGCCCCGTAACCCACCCTCGTAAGCCATGCGCTTGACGATTTATTGGGGCGGCACGTGTTCACTGTTAGGGCTATGCTTATTCTTGTACATTCGCTTGTTTGTCTGGGAAACGCAGACATTCAGCGTGTGGGCCTAGCCGAGTTTGTCTTTTGTAATGTAACCTCAAACTGATGAAGCAAGGATAGGTGTACAGGGAACCATGTAAAATAAAATGAATAAAAATGCACTTTATAAATGACCGACTTTGCGTAAAATAATTCTGGAATTTAAAAATCTTTATTTTAAGGAATGCTTTTGGTGTCAATTTATCGATCGCTTGTGCATTCGATGGCTAAGATGTATTATTTGAAGCGTAAGTGATTGTAGGTGTGCTGTCTTAGCATGATCGTACCTGGACGTTCATCCAAATATTTATAGTTAATGCGCTATCATGGGAAAGCCGTCTTTGAGGTCATGTATTTCAATGACCACTCACTCGTGTGCCATTGAGGTATATGAGGTGCTAAAGAAAGACAGAAGCACATTTCCCAGAGGAAAGCAGGCTTGAGTAAAACAGTGAGGCAGTCGGTGATTGTGGTCGTACATGAATCCACGCGCGCATGTTCATCTGCGTGTATATCCTTTTCACACCGCAACTATTGTACCAATGCATGTTTATTGTGTTTACGTGTGCGAACGTGATTTTTTGATTAAAATATTTCCACTTGCATTTGAATGTAAGCGACCAAGACAAATTTCTTACCCTGGCAATCACGTTCACAAAATCAAAAAGAGGGCAACACTTCCCTCACCCAAACACTAATTCATCGCCTTAATCTTTACTGTAAACCTCACCTAACCCTAACCCATACTAGTTAAGGAACTGGAATTAAATGCTGAGGGTCAATTCAATCTAGAGGAGGTGTCAAAATTTGGGCTTGCTTTCTGGATCTCCCATAATTGGATGAACCTTATAATAATGGGGTCCCAATTTCTGACTGGTCCTGACCTTCACCAAAGTGAGTACGCATAGGAGTGTGTGAGTTGTCTTTATGTTGATGTATGTGGGCATGCGATACGTACAAAGACGTAGCTAAATCCCATTCCTACTCTTGGCCAACATCAGTTAGCGAATATCTGAACTGGTCCTGGACCTCCCCTAGGTCAACTCAGCCTTAAACGACCACTTGATGCAGCGCGTAAACATCAGCACTGGGGAGACGAAGGCCACCGGGCAATGTGTGGGTGCGCAGTGCAGGCCTTAATAGGTACTCGCTAACAAAACTTTCCTCCCAACGGCTTGAAAAGGCTATACGGGGGATCCGTTGTCTTTGTGTTTGCCGCATGATTATAGCTGAACTCTCGCACACTGTGCGCGTATGGAGATCACGCGTGTGTGTGTGTATGTGTGTTCACGGACCCCTACCTTGACAGAACCTGATCAAACAGCTGCCCGAGGCAGACCAGCTGGAGGCTCTGGCGGGCTTCAAAGATGAGTACGATGACTTGGCAGAGGCCGAGCAGTTTTCTGTAGTGGTGAGTTATTTTGGTTCCCTATTAAGCTAATAAAACCTTAATTAAACAATTAGCCAAGAATTGCATTGTTGCCATTACCGCCGTCATCAAACAATTAGGCAGGAAAACTGTTACCATCAACACATTATTAAATGTATTCTTCAAAGTGAATTATGTTATTTTTTTGGCTCCTGGGCATATGTATGTATATACACTTTTATTAACTCGTGCTCGATGAAAATGTCACATCTGAGTTGTTTGGTTACATCAGTTGCATGTTGTGCTTATGAAAATGATACAGTATTATACCTTTCTTGCCAAAGAACAGGTGATGTGCTGGTGTGTTCAACTTTGCTACTGACATGAATACAATTGCTTCTCCCTTCCAAATGCAATGCACTTGCCCATTTGGGAAAAGTATAATGAAATGCTATGCACTTGTACATGGGCCCACTTAGAAAATTCCCTTTGGTAAAATGACCTCTGCCTAAGATAAAAAATATGCATTCAACTTATGACGTTCTGGCACGTGACGAGAGTGTTTCTCTTGCCCAGCAGTGATTCTAACGGTAATATTTTAACCTCATTCCTTGTATTAAATATAACGCGTCGAGGATGTGTGATTTCAGTGTAATGGAATGCGACTGAGCGTTATATTTTAGAAAGCTGGGGGTTATTTAGTGTTTGAAGCTTTTCACACTGCATGAAAAGACAAAGTAACATGAATCTGCTTCATTTTCTGGTTATGTGCTATCTTTCACGTTTTCTGTTTACATATTTATGAATTAAATAACTTAATCAATGAGTTATATCACTCCCTTGTAGAAAAAAAGTAATTCTCAATTGCATCAATGACCTTCGTAACGCTTAAATGACCAAGTTATTTTTCAAACACGTCACGTGCAATTTGAATGACAAATTAGTGCAACTGCTGTTCGGTTCTCATGGTTCCATATAATAGTCGTATAGCTCTCCGATGTTTATATGGTTTGTTCCGCATGCTGTCCAACACGACATCCGATGTTCAGCTTCACATGCCGGGAGCTTCGGGAAGCCGAATTTTGAACTTGCACTGATGCGGTTGTTCACTTCCAAAACAAGCTCCCATCGATTGAAAACTCATTTCTTGATAACTGCTTTTTTATGTTTAGTTTGTTGTCCTTCACCCGCACTTGTGATTCTCAAGATTGGCTACGTGCGGTGCGAAAGAAATTCAACATACACACATTTGTACATACGCCGTGTGGAGCAGAACGGCGGGTATCTTGCTGATAGAGCACGCGGTTGGACCCGGAAACGCATCGGAGAACCATTGTTGTGGCGCTTAATCAGTTTTCTAGTCGCCACCAGAATTAGAATATTTATTCATACTGGAGGAATCCGATGAGCTATAAAGCCCATTTTTACAGATGTCCAGTAAGGGCGGCTCAGAACGTTACAACAACAAACAACAAACAATATACATGAACACGAGTGCAAAGTGTAGGAAAGAAAACCAAATGACTTAAAAAGAATATTCAAATAAAACTAAAAAAAAAAATGTGTTTCATCTGACCAGGTCAAAGCTCACGGAGGTATTAACTTATATTTTCAGAAGCGACCTGGCATATCACAAGTGATAGCTCAACACAAGTGGCCCGATGTCAGCGTGCGCAAATTCATAGCGATGGTTCCACTGCGCACAGATCGGCTCGGTGACGCGCCTGCGCTCCCGCCTCACGGCCATCCAGTTCATGCTGCAGTTCGAGGAGCAGGTGTCCTCCGTGAAGCCGGACGTGGTCGCCGTAACGGCGGCGTGCGAGGAGGTGCAGCAGAGCGACGCGTTCAGCCGCCTGCTCGAGATCGTGCTGCTCTTCGGCAACTACATGAACGCCGGATCGCGCAACGCGCAGACCTTTGGCTTCAACATCAGCTACCTGTGCAAGGTCGAGCAACTGTCACGCGCGTGTGTACACACACACGCGCACGCGCGCGACCATGTACACATGAGCGCTCTTAACCCCTGGTGTTGAGGTGACCTGAGGATGCGCCCAGTCCTTTGCGTGCTGCAGCAGTGCCGCTCCTTCGGTGCACTTTATTTTTGTAGGGGCTCCCTGGCTTTTTTCTTTTTTTCCCCATCTTTAATCACCAACTCTTGCGTTTTATTTTTCGATCCAGTGTCAAGTGCAACGCCTCTGCCACTGCTAGAGAAAGGAATTGCTCTAGTAATTTTCAACCAGTGTAGATATTTTACTTGCCAAAATAATTATGAATAAACTAAAGGAGCAATGGAAATAATGCATTCCTGCTTTAAGCGAGAAGAGCATTTCAGCAGCTTTCTCCGTTTAATTTTGATTATTTTTGCATTCGAGGTCATAACTAATCATCTATATTTTGTGTGCATTGTACGAGTGTGTGTGTGTATGCAGGCATGCACGCCATGCATCTGTATACGCCTTCCTATGTATCTGCTCATATACATATATAGTAGCAAATAATCAGGGATTGTGGCTGTGAGCGCCCATCATATTACAGCAGTGTAATTTATAAAGAAAAATTGTATTACGGCATAATAGGCTCTTGCTAAAATGGGGATTGTGTGATGGTTTGATGTTTGCAATTCACTGGCCTGGAATGTACGGCATTCAATCTCCTTTTTTTCGTTTATTGAAATACTTATTGTCATGAGGATTCCTGTAATGTATGGGCAGTAGCTTCCGTATGCACATGTGATTTAACTTGGTTGGAGTTGGTGGAGGAAAAAAAAATTGAACGGAAATTATAACTGCTTTTCGCTTGTTTATTTTCTTGGCTCTGTGTGTTTGTCTTTGTGTATGGGGAGCGCTAGAGTAGCGGTTAGCGCGCTGCGCTACGGACCCGGCAACCCGAGTTCGATTCACGCTCACGGCCAACACCAATGACGATTATCTGAACCGGTCCTGGTTATCCCTTAGGTCGACTCAGCCTCAAATTAGTACTTAGTGCGGTGTGTAAACATCGCCACTTGAGAGACAAAGGCGGTCGAACGTGGTGCTGGCCACCCACCCCCTCGTGTGCCGTTCTGGCCTTCATAGGTCCTCGCTTAACAGCACTTGCCCCAGCAGTCTGTGAAGGCGACACGGGGGATGTTCGTCTTTGACTTTGTGTGTGTGTGTGTGTATGTGCAGCTTCGCGACACCAAGTCAGCAGACCAAAAACAAACACTCCTTCACTTTCTGGCCGAGGTTTGCGAGGCCGAGTATCCGGAGGTGCTCAAGTTCACCGAGGACCTGAGTCACGTGGAGAAGGCCTCCAGAGGTGAGCCAACCGGCAAGCCTTCCGTTGCTTTGGCACGTTGCACGTGCTGATGTAAGTCCCTACATTGCACGTCCAAATGTAAAACTATTTTTTTTACACACAGTCTGAAAAGGTTTCATCAGCTTCGGAATGGTTCACAGGAAACTCTGCTTCAATTTGTTTGGCCTTAGGAAGGCGAGTAAATTTTTTGCTGCGAGGCATGGCTTAGCTAATAATTGGACTTTCACAATATACACATCTTGGTCTGTTCATAGCATTTTTGGCAAACTACACCGGCTCCATTTAAAGAATGTGGAATTTTTGTTATTTGCATTTCCTTGCTGCCGAGTCATAAAAATAACCTTGACCCGGAACATTACTTGCTTTGATTTGCCGTTCAGGATGAAGAGAGACCGCATGTACAGAGAATACGTGTGGTCTTGAGAATATTTATTCTAAAATAAGTGTGGCCACCTATTGCTAGGCATGTTGCAACCCCATGTTTAGGTATTATTAATGAAAAACAACGATTTTTTATTACTTTGACTATTGAAAAAGCAGTAGTATGTGTGAAATTGAATTTCTTTATAATCGATTCATCACATACTGTAATTGACATTTTCAGGATATATATTAAATTTACCGGCTTGATTTTTTTAGATGATCAAAGTGATATGCAGTAGTTTAAAGTGTTTATTTGGCATTTCGTTTATTCTCCAGTCAAATTTAAATCAACTAATTGCCGGTCAAGCAACTAAATTGCAGGGGACGGAGCAGTGAGCCAGTGGTTAGCCACACTGGCACCCGGCAACCGAAGTTTTAATTCCTGTCCACAGATGACAGACATCTGTGTCAGGTGATATGTGAAGCATTCCTGGAACTGCACCTCCCTCCCCCTCCCAGCTCCGCACCTCAACTCACACTGACCATCTTCTTTGGTCCTTTCGGTAAAGTCACCACGTAGAATGAGAATAAAATAATAAATTGATAAAATAACACAATAATATTCTCACGACGTTTCGGCCACAACACAAGCGGCCTTCATCAGGTGAAGGGACGAGACCGTCTGGTAGGACAGCGCCTCAACTTTAGCAACACGGATAGCTACGGGCCCCGTTCAGGCGCTGTCCTACCAGACAGTGTCGTCCCTTCACCTGATGAAGGCCGCTTGTGTTGTGGCCGAAACGTCGTGAGAATATTATTGTGTTATTTTATTTTGTCAATTTATTATTTTATTCTCATTCTACGTGACTTTACCGAAAGAACCAAAGAAGATGAATCCTTGCAGTCACGAAAGCTTTAAATCGAAATTTCACACTGACCAGTGTGGTGAAGTATGGTCAACCCCCAATAACCGACAGCATGGGAATGCCCTTATCCAACAGTAGATTGACAAAGGGCTGTAAATCAGTTATCATTCATTTTCTGGTCACATGTTTGTCTTTGATACAAGCTGCATATTCCTGTCCATGTCTTTTCAGGCAGCCTCTAATTTCCATCCTGTTTTACATTCACATTGTGAGACTTTCCTCTGTTATTATCCAACGTGTAATAGCCCTTTACGCATTTTCAAAGCACTTCACCTATGCTGTTAAAACTCTGCAATTATTAAATCTACCGTAACAGAAAAAAAATATTTTTTTTAAATGATAATTTCTCCATACAAAAAGCAGTCACCTTGAATAAGGACACAGGTTTCAAGCGTGCCCTGTATTAAACAAGAAAATTAGTTGCTGATCAGAAGTATAATCTCATTTTCCTTGGTCCGCTACTGTAACAGAATTGCCACATAATTCTTATCGATCACAGCGCTATGGCTGTTAGGCATGCTGCCTCCATGCTACGGTCACCCCTAGGGTGACTGCAGATTATAATTCCACAAACGGTCCATTATAACCCTGCATAATTCTCATTGTCACATAAAATATATCAAAACTACGAGGTGCACAATGATTATTTAGATAATAAGATTATTTTACAAATGTAAAATGTGCCATCACTCAGCCGTGTCACTAGGTCCGCAACAGCCGAATTTGTCATGCATTTGGCTCTTTTTCAGAATGGGAATCGGAATATATATGTTTTTATACTGGAGGAATCCGATAAGCTATAAAGCTCTTTTCACTGATGTCCAGTTGAGGTTGACGGTTTTAGCCCAGCGGCCGCCCTGGTTAACATTGAGGGTAAATTAACAATTTGTATGCCCTGTCTGTTTACAGAGAATTACTAATACCACCAACATGCTCCAAATCAGGACAATTGAACACTGTTCCGGTCCCAGAACTTAGTACTCGCGCAATTAATTAATTAATTGCGTATGAAAGCGGTACCTCCAATTAGCACGGTTGGCTATGTATAGTGCACGCGAAAGAAGTTCAACAAACATCGATACAGAGGAATCCTCCACGCCTTTCATCACCTCCGGCCACCATTTCCTGAATAGTGGCGCTGTCAGATCTCAGGGTGCAGGTCAGTCACAGTTTCATTTGGGCTGGTCACATTAGTCACCAGCACGCTCCGAGCTAAGGCTTCCTGGAAGACTTAAGAAAGGGAGTTCCCAGTGAGATACTGAAAGGTGTTATTCGTGGTAATCATCCACCTGCGGAAGGACAGCATCCACATGTACCCACACCTGTACAACCTCTTGATAAGATTAGGGTCCAGGAGCGGCGGGGGGAGGGCCTGGAGAGATCTGTGGCGAAAGATGGTTCAAACATTCAAGGAACACGTGTTTGCCCTGAATTGCCTCGAGTGCAGTTTGCGACCGACAAGGAGGTTGAAAGACCCATGGGCCGTGATCGACGCAACCCTGGGGAAGGGGTTTTTTTTATTCCCACAGTGAAGAAGGTCGGTCTGGCTGCCTCAAGGCAGAGGCGGTCATATCGTGGGACAAGGAAGGGAGGGGGGCGCGAGGTGCTTCCTCGGAGCACTGGGCCATATGGTGGCGACAGTAGACAGGGTCCCGGGACGGTGTCTCCGAACGGATTGGGACCCCCCCCGCGGGGGCGCTACACGGAGGAACTTTGTTTGTGATGTATGCTCAGCCGGGACCTCCTACGGTGGCTCTCGGGTCTCATCTCCTTGCAGGAGGGCATTCCCCCGGGATGATTCTTCAAGGAGCCGGCGGCAGAGATGGCTGCAAGCCGCCCCGTTCATCTGGCTGGGGGAGCATGCTGCCACAAAGCAGAGCCCTTTGCAAGGCATACGTAGGGGAAACAAGACCTTTTAAATACATGGTCAAGCTTTTTGGGTTTTGGTTCATCTAGGCCCTTTCAACATTTGTGTGTCTTTGTGTGCGCCTACCATTTTCATTTTTTTTTTATCGTGCTCCCTGCTGTTGCGAGTGAAAACTGAAGAAGTGTACCTTCCGGCCATAAACTCCAGATTAGGAGAGGAGGGAGGGGATTCAAGGGAAGTTCCAGCACGGAAATTGTAGGTTGCTACGGCAACTGCTTGCCAATATGAAGATCGATGCCGCTCACGTGCTTTTGCTAGTGTCTGGGGGGACTCTGGCACTAATGAAGATGAAAGATCAGCACGGTCTACGACCGACACGGTTTTGAAGTTGAGGAACGGAGGATTGGGGAGGAATGAGGAGAAGGGAAAAAACCCCGAGAGCTGGGGAAAGCCAAATCCTATTAGTAGAGTGCAGCATCTGGACGCCCTCCCTGACACTCCGCACGCTCTGCATGCCACCACGCAGATATCGGCTGTGAAGCCTTCCTTCGCAATGCCATACGATCAGTTAGCGACCGTCCCGTCGAGGCTTCTTGTCGTAAACGGAACACTCATTAACGTTACAAATGCGGAATCCACCGTACACGTTATACCCCCAACTGCTGATCCACGGCCTGCCACCAACAACCTTCCTACGTCTCACACCACCCGGCCCCAGCAGGTCTACCTGCAACCATGAGTCTCGCTCAGCATTCTACAGTCTCTTGGGCATTTGTTAGTTTGTTTACAGTTATTTCTTAAATTATACAGTTTTATGTAGTTTTTCCTTGTTAAACACATTCATTGGTTGTGTGATGCAACGGCAGTGGTGCACAAGCACAAATAACAAATAGCATGTGTCAATAACATTGCCTCCAAAATAAAAAAATATATAATAGTGATGTAAAGGGCAGTGGCCCTTCATCACAGCCAAACTCTGCCTCTCTGGCTTCTTGTGTGCTGTGAAGAAGGGCCCTTGTCCGAAAGTTTTTCTTCCTTTATATAACCTTGTAAACTTTTCAATAAGCTGAATATACTGTATACTATATGGGCAAGCAGCTTATTTTGGTGGTATTCTTGCTCTGTCCTTTAAACATGTAGTATGTCTGCGTCAGCATAACGGCGCCCAAAAAGGTTTCTCTTTAACATTTAATGCTGTTTGATGCAAAATAAAAGAACAGGAGAATGCTTGCTACATACATACTGCGGCCCGCCAGAGGGCATGACAAAATGACAGAATAGACTGGTCAGCATTCCCTGCACCCGACTCTTAAATCCCGCCCCCCCCCCCTCCGTGTGATTGTCGTTGCTCAGTGTCAGCCGAGAATCTCCAGAAGAATCTGAAGCAGATGGAGAATCAGATCGAACAGTTGGAAAAGGACATCCAGTCCTTCCCATCAACCGAGGACAAGAATGACAAATTTGTTGAGAAGATGACAATATCCTTTATGCGTGTAAAATGTGTGCGGGGTTCATGCTTTGGTTGTTCCCTTTTTATATCTTCCCTCGTGTGGAAGGGACAAAAACACGTGTTGTATAGTATTTTCCGGATAGAGTTTACGAAAAGTGATGCTAACTACCCTATTATAATAATAAATACTTATTTTAAAGTATGAAGGCTTGAGTTGAAATTCAGAAAAGAATTTACATTGGTATTAACTTTTTGTAAAACTTAAATTATGTATATCTTTTTTTCTTAATCTTAAACTCATCATTCACTTGGGTGTAAAAAATATATTATTCTACATACATATATATTAAGGTCATAAAACCGAGAAACGTTTTTTTTTCGCCGTCTGTCGCCTAACAACAAAGTCATTGCACACGCAAATAACACATTCTGGCACCAAAATATCGCTGCAGATGACTGAAAATAACATCATTAATACTGCAGAAGAACTTTGCACAAAACAAAGGTTATTTAATATACAGCCATTAGGTTATGGCGCCAAGGAAATGGCTTTTTGATGGCCTGCCAGATTTGACGCGTTCATTAATCCTTGGGTCTAATTCGCCAGTTTGAATCCGCAGCACGGCTTTTCCCCTGCTGGCCCTAATCAGATTCCACCATGTTGGAGGGGTAAAAAAAAAATTAAGAAAAGCCACCACTGCATCGGCGGTATTTTTAGGTTCTTAATTCTGTGTGCAGCATTTGACGAACAAGCGCCCCACATGTCACTGTGGCCTCATTTTGTTTTCCTCTCACCAGTCCCATGGCTCTTGGTGATTCTCTTCTTAAGCTGCCGCCCCCCCCCCTCTGCCTCACAACTTTTCCCGCCCGACGTTCATCCGTGCGTCTCCGCTGCCATTCCCACCCACCATTTCCCCCCAATCCTTAACTCTCCGTCTTCGCTGAGCGGTGGTGGACATAGACCCAACTGCTGTTTGTGGCTTGGTTTGCCATGAGAAAGAGAGTCGACATGCTTATGGCAGATGAATGACTTTCCAGAGAGTGAATGTGTTGGGTAGCCTTGAAAAAGCAATTGATGCCTGTTCTTATCACCTCAACGCAAATCTACCCAGAAAAATCAATTTTCAAACCTTTGCCACATTGAAATGGTTTTCCTGTTTTTTTTTTTTAATAAATAGGCACACAAATGGAATTTCGAATACCTAATGGGTGTGCATTGGTCATCCTACGGTTCTTACATCAAGGTATTGTTACAAGAACTACTCGCAAGATACTTGACCGCACTATTAAATATTATTCTCTTATAGCCGAAGGCAATGCGAGGGTTTTATGGTCCTTTTTGGAATCTGGATTTTGTTTTTTGTAAACAGTATTTTATGATACTCTGCAATTATTTTATGCATGCTGCAGACGCATGTTAATTTTAATGCCGGATGGTGAATTGAGAAGCAATGCTATATTCCCCGTGGTTGTAATTTGGCATTTCTTTGATATTTTTTCTGTGCATATGTTGGTATTCAGTAATTGACATTTTGTTTCGGAGAACAAAATGTGTCTGGATTTGAGGTAACTGCATTGCTGTATTTAAAACCAATTACGCTGCTATGTCTCTTTTTGCATTGTTAAGGTACATCTATTTGGACACTGGTCCTGGAAAAGGTCCCATGATTTAACATATTGATGATATAGATCTTAATAAAACACATAGCTAGTAATCAGAAGTTTGACACAACTAATTGATTAGTATTTGAACTTGTCAAGCTTTTTGGGATTTTGAGAAAGAAAAAAAAATAGTTTACGGGTGTATGCAATCCAATCTTTAAAATAACGCTTAATGTTCCTGCCTGATGAATTGATACAGCCAGTCTTTCACTTTCGAAATTTAATTGAGTTTCTGTCGATTTGGTTTCTTGCTCACTGTTTTTGGCTGTCCGAGAACCACCGAGGCTCCGGCAAAAAGGGGGCCTTCTCTGCATGGCCCTCCTGCCGCCCACCTCCTCCTCTGGCGCACTCTTTGGCTCCTTGACTGTTTTTTTTTTTGTCGGCGGGGGCCAGCATGGCTTTGTGGAGAAGGCGCGCGAGCAGTACGGTCGCTTGGCGCTCATGTTCGACAACATGCAAAAGCTGTTCGATGGCCTTGGGGAGTACTTTGTTTTCAATACCAAGAAAGTCAGCGTGGAGGAGTTTTTTGGAGACCTCACCAACTTCCGCTCTATGTTCATGGTGAGTCGCATCTGTCACGCATTCGCAATACACCGTTGGTGCAGTTTTTGTTGTAATTATCGATTGCAGCGTTTGGTTTGTTTTTGTCGTTCATTCCCACGTTTATTTTCGGTTGCGTGATCTTGATTGATGTAGCTGTTTTGAATCCATGAATTTAGATATCAAGTTTTTCGTCATTCTCCGGAATGTATTATTGCCCCAGTGAGCAATGCCGTCTGCATAATTATGTACATAAACACAATTATCAACGTTATAGCGATCGTTATCTTTATGATTATTGTAAAGTTTCTCACGCATTTCCAGGCGACATTTACAGTTCCGATATGTACCATTAGCAAGAATACATTAGTGATGCCTTTTTTTGTTCGCGCATGATTATTTTTTTGGCTCATGGCCTCTACGCTCGACACTTTGTGAATCTACCCTCGGCGATGACAAAGCTTGTGGGTGGCGAACATGAACACTCCGTTTCTGATTTGAAAACTTTACCGGCCATCAAAAGGAATGCACCTCTCACCGAGCTTGTATTTTAGAAGGGGGAATTACAATGCGAGTAATGATCGTTAGTCGTAGATTTCAGCGATGGCTCGAAATGTGGCCTCATGTTCAGCCCATTCTCCAAATGGTCACATGGCCAGCAAAGACGCTACCGTTGGAGCAGCTCTGCCTGTCAGTTCTGCCCGCTGGCTCCTCTGTGAATTCAAGTGATCATCTGAAAGCGTCGACACGTATTGTTATATTGCCTCTTGCCTTAATTGGTCACGGTGACCCGTTGAATTGCTTCTTCTGTTTGGATACATTTAATGCAACCATGTTGTGCCCTGGCTGAAGGCGGCTTTAGCATAATTTGTTTACAATCCATTGATTAACATCGGTTTATAAGGAAGGTTTTTTTTTTAGTTACAGCACATTTGCGCTTTACAATGGTAGCAGAAAATTATATTGCGACCTAATGTTCCCTGCAGTGGTTTACGCAGAAACATTGTTAGTGGTATCCGTGTCATCACTTAGCAAACAATGCACCGGCAACAATAGCCAGTGCGCAATACTATCATACCGAGTCTCCTAAGCGCAAAGGCTGCACGTGGACACACAGCAGGAGAGCAGCACATATCTTCACATGCTCATCGGACGTGCGCACACACACACACACTGGGAGTATGTCCTCTTAATTAAATGCTAGGTAAAATGCCAGTGCGAAATGTCACAAGGAGAAAACATGCCTTACATGGTGCATGCTGAAAACTTCAATGGCCATAATGACCCGCTTAGCCCAATGCCAACTGTTTGAATTTCAATTCCTTGCATGAGGCCTCCACTGCATTTGTTATGCACAAGCGTCTGGCATTTAAGAAACCCTGTTATTATTTTCCGCCCTTTTGCTTGTGGCTGTTTAGCGCTGAAAAATTATGTCTGGCTCGTGCAGCCGATCGAGAAGAAATACGTTCAATGTTGATTTTTATTGCTGCTTGCTGTTATTATTATCATCGCCAAACCAAAAAAAACACCTTTGGATTTTATTTGTTGAAGGGGAGAGGCGGGGGTTATGGGCAACTTGTATTTTCGTCCGTGAAATAGTGTTACATTTTTAAATTAATTATATACGTTACCGTGTTTTGCACAAAACTGTGTGATGCCACCAGTTGGGTATTAACAAAAACACTCGCTGAAACGTGGGAAAATAATGCTTGACCAACAATCTCTTCATTTCATTGTTGTCTCCAGCGTGATTTTCACGGGCACCTGTTTGTGGTGATAAGTGGTCCTGGAATACAAGGCAGGGTTTTTAAATTCCTCAGTGAAATTGACATTAACTCCAAATTTAACAGGCAGGAGCAAGAGCAGCTCCAGCTGCGTTTAAATATTTTGCGTTGGACAGACATTATCTTTGCACTTGCGAGCACCAAGACAGAGGCGAGTTTTTGATCTCGGGTGAAGAACTGAGAAAATCCTTGATATGTACGGAACATAAGAATAGAGCATAACATGAGATACATATTTTTTTTGGTAAAGGAATGGAAATGTAATATTCTATTACTACGAACCTAAAGTTACCTTTAAACGATACTGAATATTTAATAAAGCTTCCATCATCAGCACACTTGTACCGTAGTATTACATAGTCCAGTAGTAGTGCTGCAAGCCACTCTGCTAAACTAATGCGCAAGTCAACCAACACTGCCCAGTGTGATGAAGTATGGTCATGTAATTCTGATGACTGACACCAAACCAATCAAACTTGCTGTTGTCTGCTTCTTTTATTTATCATTTTGATTCTGGCCATCCTTAAATAACTCCCCTAATCCTAAATACTTTGATTTGTTTTGTAGTTGTGTTTCTCCGGCAGATGTTATTTTGACTTTTGTTTTGCTCATGTTTATTTTTTAGCCTATCTTTGCAGCCTAGGGAAGAAAGTGTTAACTCAGCGTGTATTACCTGTTATGACACGGATCAGAAACATAGGCATTGAGAAAGTGAATTGAAAAAAAAAATCCGCAAAGAATCACAGAGAAGGTGCATGCGTGAAATTACACTGAGAGACAGTAATAGGAACACATGGATCAGGGAACATAGGCACGTTAAGAGACATCTCCTTGACTGTTGAGAAAAGTACGCGGGCTTGGGCAGGACACCGCTCAAAGGGATGATGGTCGAGACTAACAATGGAATGGCAGCCAAAGGGATAGATTAGCTCCTGTCAATTGTGACATCGCAGGTCCACGAGGGATGGCGACAACTTTGAGAAGGCCTTCATCCAATAGTGGCTTTCTACCATTCCATCAGTCTGGGGGTAGTTTAGCGACGTACGCACCTTCTTAGTTCCTAACAAGTCGCACACCTCCCGCAGCAATTTAAAAGATACATTTTTGCCCTGATCGGTCAAAAGACTCTCAGGGGCACCCTTGTCCATCACGTAGCCATTGAGGAACACCTCAGAGATGGCCACCGCCGATTGGTTGGGGAGCGGTCAGTCCTTCGGCCAGTGTGAGAAGTACTCTACGCCGACTAACAAATATTTATTTCCACGAGGGGTGGTGGGAAATGTACCAAGGATATCAAGAGCAACCATTTCATTAATGCGGGAGACCTGAATAGATTGCAACGGCGGACAACGGGGCCTGGCTGGGCTTTTCCGCCGTGCACATTGTACACATCCCTTTAACAAATCTGCAACGTCCTCCGCCGTGCCCGGCCAGAAGAAATGAAGCTGGATCGTGGCGAGAGTCTTGTGCACCCGCAAGTGCAGCGGCCGCTCATGGATCGCCCAAATGACCCTATCCCCGTAGGGCAGTGGGAACAACAACGGCGTGATGGCGCAGGCCCCCGTCCCAATACATTAGCAGACCGTCCCACAGGACAATAGAGGCCACACCGCCACGACTCTTGCCCCCATCCGTCTCCTTGACACGGCGACGCATCTTAACCAGGGAGGCGTCCTCGACCTGGAGGCGCCCCCACTCTGTGAGGGCTAGCCCAAGGACGGCATCCTGCACCGCGGGACCATCGGCTCCAACGGGGGCGTCCGCCTCAGCTGCCGCCACGAGGGGCGGGGGCAAGTAATCGGTTTGCATTTTACAGCGCCCCGAGCCGGAAAAACACGCGCACCTGTCGGTTGGGGCCAATCGCGACAGGGCTTCGGCGTTTGTATGCTGAGTGCCTTTTCGATAGCAAACCGCAAAGAAGTAGTTCTGAAGGACCTCCAACCAACGCGAAAGTTGGCCTGACGGTTGCTCAATACGCAAAAGCATATTGTAGCGCTGCATGGTCCGAGCGCACCGTGAAACGTCTGCCGTACAAGTAGGGGCGATACTGTGGAGGGGTTTTGCGATGGTAGCGAACCCGGCGAAAAAACGGCGATAATAGGACGCAAATCCTATAAAACTCCCCCACAGACGTGGGGGTCGGCCAAGTTCGGACACGCGGTTTTGTTGGGGTTCATCATACTGACTGCCCGAGGTACCGCACGGAGTTTTGAATAAGGTGACACTTTTGTAGCTTAAATTTGAGATTAGCCGCATGCAGTTTTAGAAAAACAGCACGTAAGCGATCAAGGTGTTATTTGAATGTACGGCTGAAGACGATAACATCGTCAAGGTAAATTAAGCATGAGTCCCACTGAAGTCCAGCTCGGACCAGCTCCATTAATCGTTGGAACGTAGCCGGCGTGGAGTGGAGCCCGATCGGAAGCCAATTTAACTCGAACAGGCCCTGAGGTGTCCGAAAGGATGTTTTGGGCCTAGAGGCTTCGTTCAGTGGCAACTGCCAAAATTGGGACAGGAGATCAAGGGTAGAGAAGTAGTGGGTGCCCGCTCGGGCGTCCAGGCAATCGTCCATCTGAGGAAGAGGATAAGCGTCCGCTACGGATACCTTGTTGAGCTTTCGGAAATCAACACAGAAGTGCATGCTACCGTCATGCTTTTTAACAAGGACGATAGGGGCTCCACATGGGCTGGTGGATGGCGAGATGACGTCAGCGGCAACATCTCATCAACTGCCAGCCGTACATGCTCCTTCTCCGCAGGCCTCAGCCGGTAAGGGTTCTGCCGAATGGGAGCGGCGTCGCCCATATCGATATGGTGGCTCAAAAGTGTGGTACGGCCAATGTAAAATTTCCCTGTACTAAAAACATGGGCGAACTCGCGTAAGATCGCGCCCAACTAATCCCTTTGGGACTCGGACAAGTCCACACTCTCTGCACACAGCGATGTCAACCACCCGTCATCCGGACCCTTGCGCAGATGCGCGTTCGACTCGATCCCCACACCCCCAACAACACATCGCTCGTGAAGTGCAGGCGACGCATGGGCTAACACGGTGCCCTCCTGAACGATGGATGTGTCCAACCCAGCTTTGAGAACCTGGATGAAGGGTTCCAGGTCGTTGGACACCAGGGTCTGGACACCAGGGTCTGGGCTCCAACTAACGTCAATCCCTTCGCGGCCTTATTGGAAGGTCCCAAGAGGATCCCTCCCGCCGTCGCCGTCTGGTCTCATGGCTTGCGCAAGCGTAAGGGAATCAACATTTGCGTGCCAGGGGGAATCCAAACAGTTTTTTACACCAGCGCTTGCACGGTGGCATTGGCCATGCGCATCCAAACGACGGCCTGACGGAAATTCAATGCACCCTTGGTCAGTGAGGATTTTTACCGGCATTCTACCCCGAGCAAACATGGAACCACAAGGGACGTCGATACGAGAACCGGTCCTGTCAATTTGGCATCGCCAATACACACCTGCGCCTAAATTTTGCCAATGATGCCCAATGATCCACCGTTTGCGGCGAAGCATGGAATGTCAACGGGGCATAGTGTACGACATTTAGCGGGCAGAATGTTATAAATCAGTTCAGAAATGATGGTTGCCAACGCACCAGTGTCGACGAGCATCCTGATTTCTACCCCCTCAATTGAACCAACAACAACAGACGAATCCGCGGTCGCGGCAACTACTCTATGGGCCAGCTCCGACCACTGACCTGGCCGGAGCGGCCAGTCAGCCCAGTCACCTTCCGAACCCCCCCCCTCACTGACACACGACGCGAACGGGAACCCGCGAAGCGAGATGAGTGAGGTTGAATTGGAGGCCGAGTGTGTGATGCTTCGCGACTCACCTTAAGGTGCAGTGGAGAGGAGGGCAGGCAGGCAGACAACGGCGGTGGTCCCGGGAGGCAACGTCGAGGCGCAAGGCAATCCGACGCGATGTATCCCGGCAGGCCGCAGTTAAAACAGGCGGCGAGGCTGCGGCCCGGACGAGGTGTTGTCCTCCCCCGGCGTTGGAAGTCGTCCCGACATGCCATGCCGTCCCTTCGGCAACCTCTCCCTTGAGTTGACGCGCAGGCTTGAGCCGGCTCCGTGACTTCAGATGTATCCCGCGCCTCACAAGGCGGGATACACGCCGCTGCAAGAGCAGGTGAGCCTGAATGCTCTTAGCAACTTGTAGGGAACACAGGTCGTCGACGGCCGGAATGACGACGCGGAGATCCCTCGCAAACGCCAGCAGCTTCTCCAGGACCTGGGAGTCGAGACCCTCCTGGTCCATCCTGGGCAAGGCTGCCTTCGCCAACGTCAGCAGCGCGCTGCGGATGTCGAGGGGCGTCTTGGCCTCCCCCCACCTAGGTGCAGCGAAGCGATGGCACGTGTTGGACGGCGGCCCGTAGATTGCCGCCATCTGTTTGAGCGCCTGCTGCAGCGTAGCCCTGTCCCCCGGCGGGATGGTGATGAACGCCGCCAGGGCATCGTCGTCCAGGGCGGCGGGAAGCGCCCTCAGCGCCTCCGCCTCCGTCCACCCCGCCATCTCACTGTTGGAGAGGATGCGCCGCTGGAAGGCCGCCCAGTCGCCTCCAGCGGCTGAGAATTCCTTGAGGGCGGGCAGTTGGCATTGGAGAGGTAGGGCAGACACCGTCGATCGCAGTGCAGCCTCGGAATTGGCGGGAACTCCGCTCTCCTGCGAAAACAAAATGGCGGCCACTTGCGCGGGCTGCGACGTGGAGGCTCCTGGTTGGCGGGAGCTTTCGGCAGGAAACCCGAAACTTTCGTCGGGAATCCCAGCTCCAACGGACGGGGACCCCCAGCTTGGGTCCAGGACCCGGGTTGGTCTTGTCTTGAGGCGGAGGCAGCACGTCGATTCTTCGGGATCCCAACAACAGCCGGTCCCACTGGCTCGCTCCACCACTAGCCACGGCCCTCTTCTCGAACCGTCGAGGAGGATCTTGCATGGACATGTGGTCCCCCCAGCCCCCCTTTTTGGGGTCCCTCGGGTGGACGTCCCCGGTCACGTGTCCTCCATGGCCCCGTGGAACCTCGTTCCCGAAGCCGGCACCTCCCCCAGCACCCCATCCTCTAGAGCTGGCATTGCACCCAGCTCAGGATGCCACTGGTGTCCATGCTGGCAGTCCATTGTGTGGACTGGCCACATGCACACAGCGACCTCTAGCGATGTCGCTACAATTTTATTCCACGCAATCATCCTAATTGTATTGACGATAACATTTGGGTGATACTCAAAAATCTATTTACTTTCAACATTGCAATTCGATTTTGACACGTGCTTTATATACTCCCACAATCACCGCTGTAAGCATGTAATAGTTGGCAGCATCCGCACTGCACAGAACATGTACCTTCTGGCCTGCAGATTTATTCACGCCGGTTTTATTTCCATTTGGCCAACTGGCTTACCTGGGAGCGAATGGGTCTGACTTTGCAAGAGATTAACTTGTTTACAGCCACTAATCCGGTGGGTAACTCAGAGTGTGGCCTTATCGATATCGCTTTAATCCTATCCAGTCTGAGCACGATGCAAGTGCTTAGGCCACAGATTGAGAGGAGAAAGTAACAGGCCGTGAACTGCCGAGGGAAGATTTTCATCTGCCAAAATGCATTGCTGAAATTGAGATGGCCACATTGGGATGAATTCTTGATCATGAAAGCTATAGTTTTGTACAAGGCATACAAAATATATATGTTCTTCCTTTCGCAAAGGCAGCCAGATGAAACGAAGGGCTTGCGCACGAGTGTCCCTTAACCTGGTGGCAGGTGTGATCTTTTGGGCCTTTGTATGTCATCGCCTTTTCATTTCCTGCTCTACCACTTACAGCCTACCCTACAGCTGGAGCTACTGGATGGCTGTGGCAATTAAAGCCTGAATTGAATCTATTTTAGGACAGAATACATCCACAGTGTTGTGTGTGAGCGTATATGCATCGTATATAAAATGAAACGGTAATATTTATAAGCGGTACAAACTGGCTTGCAATACATTTTATAGCCAGATTGCACCGGAGCCCATCCCGCACTTGACAGTCACCTTCCCAGCTGTCGTCTTCAGTTATCACTGTGCAGCGGGGTCAGCATTCTGTCAGAAATACTAATTTAGACAGATTAACGGCCAAGCATTTTCAAGCAACAGCGAGATGCTGTAATCCCTAAGAGGAGAAAGCTGCACTGCATTGCATGTACGTGTAAATAAAGCATGATCCGCTGCAATCATCACACTGCAACTATCGCCTGTTGTTTTAATGCTGCGTGTTTGCTCGCCAGATTCAATTTACATCAAACGGCACTGCAGTTTTAGGCAAGCGGTGTGCTTCATGCCAGGTCACAGATCAACCCCTTCAGTATTTAAAGCGAGTGACCTTAATGCAAGCGTGCTTTTTTCGGCAACTAATCTCACCTCTGTGAAGCCGCGAGCATGTGTGGATCAGGCTTCAGCATGCCGACAACCCACCCCGTGCCCCGTACTCCGATAATTGCGGGCAGCCCGGCATCGTTAATGGCACTTAGCGTCTAATTAATCACTGCTTGCATTCCCTGCACCTCATTATGAGTTGTGCAGGTGGCCACGATTTTGGATGGTATTTCACCAGCTTTCAAGAACATTGCATCGCACTAAACTTTACGTTTATATTCTAAACATGAATATAGCTGACTTGTGAAAATGGAGCATTTGCATGGAGTTTAATATTGTGTAAGTTGTCTGAATTGTTCATCGCTGTCTAAACGATATTCACTATTAAATTAATCCCATGTCTTGAGTGATTTTTCTTTCAACATAAAGAAAAAATAAAGCAAAGAAATAAATAATAATTGAACAAAAATATCTGCCATTTATTGGTTATTGGACAGATTTTTTTTTATAGCCTCAATCTGAAGTGAATTGGAAGCACATACTTATTACCTTGATTCTTGCAATGTATGAAAAGACTTGGGGCTTTAGCGAAACGAGGGAGGGAATTATGGGATTGACAGCTTGATGACGAAATTGATGTCCTCATTACCTGCGCTCGTTTTTGCCAATTTGCACTGCCTCTCGTGCGGGGAAAATGTGCTCAGTGGAAGCAACGGGAGGCCGGCTTTATGACGGAGGGATGCACGGAGTACATGGGCCCATGCAAGTGCATGCCCGCAGTGCCTCACCATATCTCTCGCTCTTAATTTTACGTATAATTCACTTCCAACTGCATTGTGTCCTCTTATTTTCCTATTTACTGGCATTTGGAATTGAGACGTGTGCAGGATTTGTAATGCGGTGCAGGTACACCTCCTTTCATCTGCCTTCACGTGGCGCCGTTTTTCATACGCGAGTGCCCAAAGAAATTAGGGATGCATTCAAAAGCACCGTTGTGGCAACCAGATGCTGGCTCTTCATTCAATTCGTGTGCACTAACGGAAAACAAAATCGGACAACTGAGGGAGCATTGAACTTGGCAGATGCAGCAGTTGGAAGCAGAATTCTGCACTTTCCGGAGACTGCCTGAATCCTACTGGGACCCTCGGTGACTCTGGTAAACTTTATCAAACCAGGAGGAAGGCAAGGAGGCCCTCTAAATTATGCATGGTTTGATCTGCCTCTGTCTTTTCCGGTGCGCTTTCTGAGAGATGTTTTGAAATGTTTCTTCACCCTTTGCAAAAGGGCAGTCTACAGTTGATATTTAGACAAGGAGTTAATGGAAATTCTGGTATTTCTGTTGCTTTTGTTATTGTTTTTTTATCCCTTACTCCCCTTTTCATATCATTCATTCCTCATTGTCTTTGAAGTGTTGTAAAATGTAATCGTATGTTGTGGTTTGCACAAGGTTAGGAATGCTGCAGTTTATTTTTCTTAAAAAAAAACCCAAATCAAAAATGATGACAGCAAAAAAAAACAATTCTTATTAGTGTGTGCTTGGGTACCCTGCTATTCATGGTTAACGGAATGCATGTTGTCTTCTGTTGGGTACTAAAGCTTCTATTTGTCAACATCTTTTTTTTCTTCCCCTCTGTGATGAAACCCTGTCCCCTGCCCCATGGGCCACCAGCAAGCAGTGAAGGATAACGTAAGACGGAGAGAGGCAGAGGAGAAAATACAAAAAGCACAGCTCGCCAAAGAGAGGGCTGAGAAGGAACGACTTGAGAAGCAAAATAAAAAGCGGTTACTAGAAGGTATCACAATTGTCATATTTCATATGTATATACATGCATATATGTTACGGTATGTTCTTTTCAGTTTTGGTCCTCTTTTTTACAAGTATTTCTTTGTGGGTATTCAAGATTCTGCTTAAGGTTGTCCATGTCGGCTCGATGCCCAAAATGTTTCTCCATGTGATGTGGGAGTCTTTCAAAGAACTGATCTCAGTTACTGAAGATGCATGTATGAATGTTAAAATTATTTCGCACCGTACGTAGCCAACCGAGATAATCGAAAGTGCGGGGGAAGGACAACAAACTCGACACAAAAAGCTGTTCTCAAGAAATTAGTTTTCAATCTGGTTTTAAAAGTGCATAGCTCCAGCGGTCTCCTAATATCGGAAGGAAGAGCGTTCCAGACGGCCGCAGAAGCGCACCTGAAAGCGCTGCGCGATGCGGTGACTACTGTCTTTGTTCTATGGAGAGCCAAAAAACGCTGCTGCGAGGATGATCCCATCGTGCGCAGAAACTCCCAGTACGTGGAGAGAAACGTCAGACATCGTCTAAATCAACGCTGGCATACAACCCGAAAGAAACGTCGAAGGGCTATATATTTTTCAAGCATTGTCATTTTAATCTTTAAAAGAATCAAACGAACGATACAGATGCATTTATTTTGAATTGTTCACGAATGTCAATAGAGATCTTCCAAACCCCCCCCCCCACCCACCAGAAAAATGATAATCCATAAGATTAAAGGGATTGTATTGTGAATCAATTGTTACCATATTCCATGTGCTAGATTACTGTATGCTAAACTATATGTGTAGGGTTTCTACTGAAACGTAAGATTGCTCTGTGACGTTAATATGAATTAACACTGTCAGCCACAATGTAATTTAATGTACCCTCAAAAGCAAAATGGTTTGTGAATCCGTGTAAAACAAGCATGCGTGCGGCATACACAAATAAATGCGCGCTTACACACACAGATGGAGATGAGACAGGTGTCATGGACAGTCTGATGGAGGCATTGCAGTCAGGAGCTGCCTTCAAGAGAAAACGAGCACCTCGGCAGCCAGGTAAGGACATCCTCTGTCACCTTCCAATGTATCCTGAAACCGCTTGTATACAAAACTCCGTGGCTTCTAAAGAAATGCATTCCCTTAACATCGTTACTCCCCCCCCCCCACCACATCCCACCTATTGTTACAAAAATATAGACAATTCAAGACAGTCTAGGGGAATATTAATTTAAAACTGGATCAATGAGGATCATTTTTGGACCATGACAAACCCAGTTCCGTTTTGGTGTCCGCGTAACGATCACAACTGGCTCAGCCGGAGTAAGCACCGCTTTATTATTATTACTACTACCAACCCCCACCCCCATAAAATGATATTCCAATCGACCTCGTGTCACCGAGATGAAGCTTCCATTCACAGCTTTGAAGTTATCTGTACATCACCCTGTATCAGAGAGCAGCCCTGGAAGTTGACATTATAGAACTACTTAAGTAATTTCAATAGCTTAATTTATCTATACTCAGAGCGCACACCTGTGAGCACAAATTTTTGAGCAGTGCTACTAATAATTACTTTAATTATATAAGGTCACTGGCATTCACTGGCTGCTACAAGCATATGTTCTATTACTTTGAAGTCGTATATATTGGGCAAAGATAGTTGTATGAGTCTTAGGATGTTAGAAAACAGAAGTGATTGAAGTGAAGACTTAAGTTTGCAATAGCTAGTAATTTAATATATTTATGTGTGCACATCATATTTGAAGCTGTTTGTGTGTGTGTATATATATGTGAGGAGCAGTAGTGCAGCGGTTAGCACACTGCGTTACGAACCCGGCGACCCGAGTTCGATTCCTGCTCACAGCCAACACCAGTGATGATTATCTGAACTGGTATGGGCATCCCCTAGGTAGACTCAGCCTCAAATGAGTATCTGGTGCAATGTGTAAACATCCCCACTGGGAAGACAAAGGCGGCCGGGCATGGTGCTCGCCACCCATCCACTCGTGTGCCATGCCAGCCATCATAGGTGCTCTCTAACAGCACTTGCCCAACAGTCTGTTTCAGCTTTACGCAGGATCTCTGTCTTTCATATATACACACACAAGTTCACATATCAAAGCTTACTTGATGTTTTAGACATAAAAAAGTTAATGTATAGTTTAAATGCAAGCTGCGTACATTGACAAAGTAGTGCCCTGCAGTAGCATTTACTAATTATAACATGAGATCCTCCCACCTGCACAGATATCCCTCTGTACTACCCTCCCTCATTGTTCCACTTCCTCTAGCAAGTCTTTTATGAATTAAAAAAACGGATGTTGCTTTTAATGTTAACATTTGCATATGGAGACTTGTAGCATATCTATAAATGTCCAATGAAATATTGTGTAAGCTTGATTTGAAGCTTTTGTGACTGCAGGAATCCATACTCTTTGGTTCTTTTGGTAAAGTCACCTAGTTAGAAATAAATTAAAATAAAACAAATCACAACGTTTCGATTGCAACACAAGCAATCGTCATCAGGTGGTAAACCCACAGCAAGAATGTTTTTTTTTTATGAAGTAGGAGAGAGAGAGCTGCCGTGGCAAGAGGTTATAAAGTTAAGAAGGGGGGAGGGGCAAGGGGGGAGAGAGAGGGGGGGGGGAGTGCTGCGTGAGCGCTAGGAGAGGGGACGTGAGGCTGGGGGGGGGGGGGCAAGTGGGCGGGGCTGGAAGTGGGAAGCCGAGAAAGCTGGGGATGCGGGGGGAAATTAACTCGGAAAGATAGACTAGCACCCGGCAGGTATGATAGACACAGCCATCAAGCAGTTAACGGTTTTACCTGGTTAATAACATCCTTGCAGTGATTGCTCAATTTGTATCCATCTTCTCGGTTGAAGTTATGTCTGTTTATATCGCTGGATGGCTTCATGAACAAATCTTTGATAGTAGCCAGAAGGTTTGCAGAGTACCTTGGTCTCGGAAAAAAACAATATCGTGCGAGCCCACAGCGTTATAAAAATGGTCAGCCACGGCAGAGGTATTGGTTCTGCCGTGTTTCAGATCTGCCTTGTGTTCGCGGACACGGTCCGAGACATGTCGTTTCGTTTCCCTAATGTAACTGCACAACTTGTGTTGCAATCGAAACGTCGTGATTTGTTTTATTTTAATTTATTTCTAACTACGTGACTTTACCGAAAGAACCAAGGAGTATGGAATATTGTGTACTTTACATGCAGAGGTGGCACAGATGTGGGAGCGCTGAGCTGGCACCGCTGATCTTGGGTTTGAATCTGGGTTTTCGGCGCCTGCAATCAACCAGGGTTGTCATGATTTCTGCATGGTAACCAGTTACCGTGTTGAGTAAAAAATACGTTGCTTTGAATTTGATGCCTAACTAAATTCGGCTAATGCCGGTTTCTGTGTTTGGTTTGACTAGTAGTGTGGGTGGGGAAAGTGCTGCCTCCTAGTTTCTGCATCAAAGGCCACGAGGAGTTCTGCAATGTACGCTTCTGTGAGCCATTCTCTAGCAAGCGGGGTTAGAGAATTTATGGATGGATTCTTCAACTCATTATATGATCCAGATAGCGCAATCGGCATTAAGTGGAGAAAGAAGGCATAGAAAATAATGTATTTAAAACTAAAAAAATTATTTTACCAGGTAAGACCCACTTAGCTATATATCTCTTTTTCAGAAGCAGCCTGACACACAAATGATAGTTCATAGCAGCCAAATACTCTAAAACGCATGTTTCTGAATGTGGAGGGAAAAACCAGAGGATCCTGAAAAAATTCTACTCAACCACAGGGTCAGGATCCAACCCACAACCTCCTGTATACCAGGGGAGGGAGTTGACATCTCACCACCAGGGTGCCCACACCAAGAATCTTTCACTGTGCTCTAATACCAAGCATATTGTCCTTTTTCCCCTAGTTAATTTCCCTGCCTATCTCCCATTATCTAATTATTTTGCATGCTTGTAAATAAATTTCGATTTAAAGCTTTCGTGACTGCAGGGATTCATATTCTTGGTTCTTTCGTGACTTTACCGAAAGAACCAAGAATGTATTTGTAAATAATTAGTGATTTACAAGATGTGAACATTACCTCCAGCATTTTTCACACAATCTGCTATCAAGAGAAGTGTAACATATCCATTGCACAACATACTCTATGAATTCACTTGAAAAGTTACCATTATCCCTCCGTGACGTCTGCAGTTGTTTCTCTGTATTAAAACAAAGATTCATATGGAGCATGGGACGAAGGAGTGCTGGAGGAGTGGTTGAGGTGTGCTCAATCAATACTTTGGAAATTAGGTTTTAAAACTTTGAGCCCTATTTGATTGGCAGTTTCTGCACAGTCAGCGGTGAGCAGACATCAGTAATATAAAACCGGATTTCACTCTATATTGGATTTCCTTAGAAGTTGGAAAGGATAAACAAGATGAAGATGCGCGGTGTGTACAATATCATTTCATATAATGCCCATGAGTTCTTCTGCTGCAGTCAGAAAACGATTTGTTCTAAATTAGCAGAACGCCCATCGGCGTGTATAGTAGCTGATTTATAATTATCATTCAGAGCAGTGTTAATTTAAACTGATATTTATTTTCGTTAATACCTTTTTAGTAATGTTTTGTGCTGATTATTCCATTCCATCAACTGGCAGGCATGTATGTAATGTGCAATTTTGATGTAGGCCCTCATATGTACATTCACTGGGGTGAAGCGGCAGTATCGTGGCTAGCACACTCCACTATAAACCTGGAGCCCTGGGTTCATGGTTAACATCAGGTGTGAGTGATATTTGAACCGGACCTGGGCCACCCTCCAATCCTTCACCAACCCGTACTGAGCAACATGGTGAAGTGCGCTCAAAACAACCTCCATGGCCCACACAGTACGGGGAGGCCCTCATCCAGCAGTGGATTGACAAAGGGCTGAAAGTTATTGTGGGGTTGACGGCGTCTGTAGAAAGGAGTCACTTTTGTGCATTGGTTCCTGTAGTGGCCCACGCCACATTCTTGAGTGCATTTTTTTTTGCGTGAGAGAGAGCTGCTTCTAAGTACATCCATATATATTTTCATCTTCACCAATGTGCATGTACGCCCGTTCCTCCACACATCAGAAATATTTCAAAAGCAGCCTGCGCTTATGATGTTTCATCCAGCCACACAACAGTAACCAACCCGCACACTCGTTTTCGTAGATAAAAAAAAAAACCTAAGCACAAAATAATAGTAAGGTTGATATTTCGGTGGACGTGTATTCAGTGCAATCTAGTTCTACAATTAGCTGTGGTCTTTTACACCAAGGACACATTAAAGAGCTGCCTGAGATCTTGTCGCACACTGTAGATAAATCACTCTAATTATGTCAGAGACTGCAATATGCACTGTCTCGGTTGAGAAACTATGAGCAAGGCAGAGTCACAAGCTGGAAAGGAGGCTCTTCCTCCTATATGACACATTGGGTGTAATGGGATCACAATATTGTGCGAGCTGGGAAATCCATAAGGTTTGTACGGAACAACGCAATTGATTATTTTGGTAACTTTTAACAAACAGTCTGTACTGAATAAAAAAAAAACGCTAAAAGCCCAGTCGGCTCAATTAAAGATTTTTGCAATACACCCTGAATATTTGTTGAGTTTAAACAAAAGTACATTACATAGTGCTAATCGTAAAAATGTTCAAAACAAAGGTTCAAGTGTGTTAAAAAAAATGGTGATAATTTCCAGTGCATTAAAAAAAAACCTTGAATTTGTTTTATTTGGCAGCTCTGGAGTCACCCCTTTGGGGGGGGGGGGGCTCCTTCGTTTGGTGTTGGGTTGCTGTGTATTTTGTGAAAGGCATTCACTGTCATATCTGACGGAATGCGCCTTCGACTTTTCCCACCAGCTGTCATCCATACAGAGACGCAAGAGGAATATTAAAATATTAGAGTCGTGCGAGAAACGATGGAGAGAGAATGTTTAGTTGTGGATCGATATGGATGGATTTTTAATAGCTATGGATAGTTAGATTTAGAGATGACTAATTGAATTGGTTATATTTTACAGTATAATTAAAT